AAAAACCCATCAAAAGATGATAATGAACCTTCTTCATCAATGCCTGCTATTGCCAAGTACTTCTCTGAAAAAGCTCTCACCCAAACTGAAGTAATACTTAAACACAAATTCAACTTAAACTTCCAACCTATCACATTTGAAAATAAACTTTTCTTTACCCCATCAATACCCTCACTAGAGCAAAATTCCTTACAGCAAAACCAACAAGACACACTCTCCCAGCAAGAGACTTCCTCACAGCAAGATTCTCCTTTTCAGTAGCAGGGTTCAGAATAATAGATTTTTAAACCTGTTATAACAAATTTCTACTCTACTATAGGCTTCCACCAGCATCAACTCTACAAACACTTGGCTCTTTTCTAAAATTGCTTCAACAATTATAGTTTAATAATAATATAACTATCTCAGTTAATAATACTAATTCAAAAACACACATCTATCTTCCAAATGATCACAATCTCTTATCCAACCACAGAGCAGTTGAACAATTTAGTCTTAGCAAATATCGAGATTTACCTCTTATATCATCTTTGTTTTTGACAAATAATATTGAAAACTACTTAATGAACCATAACCTATTCTTAACTTCGCCATATACACTAGAACCTTCTCTATCTTCCACAGCCATAACAAACATCTCCTCACTATCTACACCATCACCTATCATAAACAATCACTCCAACAACCTACCCCGCTCCAACTTTCATACTTTCTCTACTGAGACACATACATATTTATCACACGAACCTAACATACCTTCAAACTACTATACTACATCAATTCATGACCCTTGTGATATTCCCCCAAGACTACAATCTAATACATCTATCTCTTCTGCTACCTCATTTGCCTCTCCTACAACAACTAACTCTTCACTCAAGTTCAATATTGCAACACACAATGTTTAAGAATTTAACATACCTGAGAAAATATTTTAATGAGAAAACTACTGTCTAACAAACAATTTACATATAATAAGCTTAACTAAAACTAAAATTTCTAATACTGTAAAAACCAAA